TCCACCCAAGGTTGTTACGAATTTCAAGATCGAATTTACGTGCGCGTCATGCGGGGCAGTCAATCAGGGATTCCTCCCAAGTCAGGGGCAGGTTGTAAAACATCCTGCACCTCCTAGCCATTATCCGTCGTCAGTTGAGAATGACAATTCGGAATATAATATGGGGATTATAAACCCGTCGGGAAGCTGACTGGGGATCGAGGATGGAAGTGGGAGGAACGTTACTTCGGAACCCTCGAATGTGATGATATGGGAAAGGCGAATATGGCATGGGGCATTTTGAATATTGCACTATGTTTTTAATTTAATGTACATTATCGCGAGTGCTCATCCTGTCATTCTGTCACAAACGGGAATAGAGAAATGTTCCCCCGCCAGAGCAAACTAAATATTTGTGGTATTTCGACGTGCGCTTGGTTGGATACCAAGAAATGCCTCAAGGAGGTTCATGACACCGGTCATGTTCCCAAGGTTAGAAGAGAGCAGCGACTTTTTGACTGCCCAACCTTTCATTAAGTCGAATTAACCTTCAGCCCGCCCTCTAGCAATATCACGTGACACACCTTATTTCGACCTGGAAAGCTTCTTGGAAACTTTCTCCCCGGATTTTCACAACTTATTACATCATAGGGCTACACGGCACGCTCGATTGATTGAGAAGCTGACGATTAGTTGGGGTACAACCGGAGTGCGTGGGTGGCTGTCCCTCTTCCACATGGATGTGTTACTTTTACTACATGTTAACATTTTTGGTCCGTGGAATGTCTATTTTACTTATGACGCACGATCTCTTCTCGGTTGTGAGAACCCGATGGAAGTAATCAAGTGATCCCTACTATGGATATGAAGGATCTATTCACAGATCTAGGGCTAATGCTGTTGTATTTCTAGCATTTGCCTGCGGAATTCCTCTCTTGTCCGAGAGCTGAAATGATGATATGAGATGTCAACGATGGCGGGAATATCGGCTTTGGCATTCAACGGTGGAATTTGCCTCCGCTCAAAAGAGACAGACTCAAGATGTTTTATGTTGTGTAACTCACTGCGTGAGTATATGCGTACCAATAGCAGTCCCCCCATCCCCATAACTAGCATCTAAATGCAGGTCGTACCACGGATCCCCTTCAGTTTGCAGCGTCACCTCCCACACCAGCCTTCTGATTGACTTTCCTGTTTCCTCGGTTTGCGGAAATGCAGAGATAGCTACCGGAGAGAAGTAGATTGGGAACCTGCCCGTTGCATACAAACTCTAGGCAACTCTTGTGTACCACTTTGTTCTTCCTCAAGTACCCGGGACACTTTGTCCGCCCGGAAGAGTCGGACAAATTTTATTTGTTTTGGTTCTCCGCTACAATATCGAAATCCCCAAGGTCATTCACTTCTCATTCACTTCTCCCTCCATCTAAACTCCATCCTTCTCTATAACCACATGTTAAACACCTTTGTCCCGCTTCACTTCTCTTCCTCGTCACCCGTCAACTACGGTTCTGTAGTCCTTTTACTCCTGCTCCGCTTAGCAATATCACAAACTGTTCGCGCATCTCCAACCGTCAAACATGGCGGATAAAGTCACAGATCTAGCAACGTAAGTTCAAGGAAACTACCAGTTTACGACATCGCACTTCCAGCGCCGGAAAAAGCCCGTCGTGCGAAAATACTGCATATAAATAGAAAATCTGTTCGACAATGAATCTAACCCATTCATCACAGCGTGCACGCGACAGAAGTTGTACCTCGAGTCCCTCAGAACGGAGACCTCGCAGGCGGTGACGTGCCACCACCAACTGAATCTAGATCCAAGGAGGACTCGCTCACTGCCCAGCAAGAAACTTCTGATTCCGACGCCTCGGATCCACCAACCGAAGAAGAGCTGAAGGACTTGCGCAAGGTCCCCGAGAAGCTGCCTTGGTCTGCCTTCTTGGTCGCTGTCGTCGAGCTATGTGAGCGATTCGCATACTACGGCCTCAGCGGCCCCTTTCAAGTATTTGCTCAGTTTTCTTACAAGATGGTTTTCTCCCCGTTCTGAAGAAGGGAACGGGTGGTAGAATTTTCGTGAAAGAACATATAACGATAAGCGCTTACTCCTGGTTATAGAATTACATACAAAATCCTTATAAAGGACCCAGTGAAGTCCCCGGCGCGATAGGTAGGCTTGCCAGCCCGTGTTTCCCACTCCACATAAAAGAATTATGCTAATCGTATAATCCGACAAGGCTTTGGACAAGCTCGCGCCACCGGGCTGAGCAGCTTCTTTCAGGTACGTATCTTCTGAGATTTCCCTCAAGTCTTGAAGTCACTAACAAAACATCAAGTTCTGGTGCTACGTTACTCCCGTAATCGGGGCTGTCGTCGCTGATCAATATCTCGGAAAATACAACACCATTGTAATTTTCTCACTGACATACATTCTTGGGCTTACCATCCTGCTCTTGACTTCTCTTCCCATCGCGATTGAAAATGGCGCTGCATTGGGTGGCTTGGTGGCAGCGATGATTATCATAGGTCTAGGAACAGGGGGTATCAAAGCCAACATCTCTCCCTTGATCGGTGAGCAGATCAAGGCGCACAAACCATGGGTTAAAACGCTGAAATCTGGAGAACGGGTCATTGTTGATCCCTCTTTGACGGTTCAACGTGTTTGTGAGTTTCTCGATCCTCCCAGCCGTGATCAATGGCATATCAGGGTTTGTCTAATCAATCCACCTCCAGACATGATATTCTATTTCTGTATCAACGTTGGTTCTTTATCCGCCATTGCTACCACCGAGCTTGAACTCAACGTAGATTTCTGGGCAGCCTATTTGTTACCCCTTTGCATGTTCATTATTGGATTTGGCGTCCTGATCATGGGCAAAAAGAACTATGTCGTAAGGCCTCCTAAGGATTCTGTTATTACTCACGCCTTCAAAGCACTGTGGATCGGATTGATGAACAAGGGCAACATGGAAGCTGCGAAGCGCTCTTACCAGGATGAGCATGGTGGGAAGTATAGTATTGAGTGGGATGACCAATTCGTCGCAGAAATGAAACGGGCGATTGTTGCTTGTAAAGTGTTTCTGTAAACTTCACGTTCATGCAACTGACACCGTACCTTCTCTTGTCCTGCATCCTATTCTTGGACTGACAAATGATGGCCAGCTACTACCCCATCTACTGGGTTTGCTACCAACAAATGATCAACAACTTCGTCTCCCAAGCCGGCACCATGGAGCTCCACGGCGTCCCAAACGATATCATGCAAAACATCGATCCCCTGACTATCATAATCTTCATCCCCATTTGCGACCGGCTAATCTATCCGCTCCTCAGAAGATTTCGTATGTTACCAGAAAATCCGCCCTCAAAAGCCCCATTATAAACATAAATACAGCTAACCATACCCGTTTTAGGAATCGCCTTCAAGCCCGTCTCCCGCATAACAACGGGCTTCATCTTCGCATCTCTCGCAATGGCCTACGCAGCCATCGTCCAGCGCGTCATCTATTACTCACCCCCCTGCTACAACGCACCCAGGTCATGCCCCGCAAGTGAGAACGGCTCCTTACCCAACCGCGTCCACGTCGCCGTGCAAACTCCCGCATACCTCTTCATCGGCCTTTCAGAGATTTTTGCAAGCGTCACGGGGCTCGAATACGCCTACACCAAAGCACCGCCCTCCATGAAGTCGTTCGTCATGGCTATGTACATGCTTACAATTGCGTTTGGAGCTGCCTTGGCCATGGCGCTGTCGCCGACGGCTAAGGACCCGAAACTTATCGTAAGTACTATCTCTAAAAAAGAAGAAGAAGAAGAAGAAGAAGAAGAAGAAGAAGAAGAAGAAGAAGAAACACCAAACATGCAAAAACTCTACCTTAAACAGTAGTTCCCTCTGGCTGACTAACCCCTTCACCAAAATCGTGTTTAGTGGACGTACACCGGTCTCGCGGTCGCAAGCTTCATCGCCGGCATCGGATTCTGGCTTCTCTTTAATCGCTATAATGCGACGGAGGAGGAGATGAATGCGCTCGATGCTGAGCAGACTGTTGATGAAGAGCCCGTTTCGGCTGCGGCGGTTCATATACGTCCGTCAACGGTGGATCCGGAAGCGCAGAGGAATTAAGAAGCGGGAAAAGACGAAAACGGGGTTAGTGGTATTTTATGTATTTTTGGATGGGGTGAATGGATCTAGGTATCTTCTTCTTTCAATCTTTCGTTTTCTTTTCATTTTCATTTTGTTTGGGTGAGGAAGCTCTGGTATGTCATTCCTAGCCTTGCACAGTTCTTTGAAGGTTGCAAGGAGAAGGGGTTGATGGGTGGTGGGGTTTAATTAATGAGTTAAGGCTTGCTCGTGGGTTTTTTTTTTTTTTTTTTGGTTGCGACACTGGGAGTTAGGAACAGCACTAATATGTATGTACCTGGGTTTTGTTTTTATATACAGAACATATGTGTGGTGGTGCGGAATTGGCGTCGCTGGAAGTTCTTCGTCGATAATAGGTTAAGGTTTGCGGGCCTTTTTTGGGGGGTGGGAGGAGCGCTGGTTTCTCCTTGTGTTTTGCTTAATCTTGTATGTTTTCCCCTTTTCACCTTTTCACCTATGGTGGGACTGGGTTTCTAATTTCTGTGTCGACGTTGGGCGTTTATTGTTTACATTTACCTGTGGACCGTGGTTTCTTCATTCTTTACTTAATGATTTTGGTAAGGAGAAGGGGGGGGTGGGGGGGGAGGCAGGTTGGAGAATGATATATATGGCATTAATTAATGATGGAGGAATTTTGATATTTTTGCAACTCTTCTGCTCCTGGTCGGGGTTGGTTTGGGGGGTAGCAGAACACGGGTTGGAAGTTGCTTTAAGTTGCTTGAGAGGCGCACGATATCCATCTAATTGTAGCAGGGTGAGTACAGAAATGGCACGGGGCAAATGAAAGAAAGAAAATGAATCTCAAACTTTGTGAATATCCTGCGCAACATTGTATACAAACAATGGAACAATGAATGAAACTTCTCGAGGCCCCCGGCTAAGCATGCCAAGCATTCCGCTCCCCGGAGAACCCCAGGGCCGATCACTCACCGATATCCATGGGGTCGGCCTCGGGTCGAACGAAGTATTCTGGAAGCTTTCTCCCTCTGGATGGAAGCTGGTTTTGGCGGGGTTGGGTGGGGGAGAGAGAGGGTAAAAGATGGATGACAGACACCCAATCAAAACACAGCAAATTTCGTTGAAAAAGAATTTAGATAAGTTCCGGATTTTCAACAGAACTAAACTTGAAATTCTAAGCATGTTCGTTTCTTTTTGCCACCACTGCGAGTATCGGAGCAAGCGAGAAATGGTTGGTTTGTTCCCACTTCTTTTTTTTTTTTTTTTTTTTTTATTATTATTATTATTTTGGGGCTAGGACAAACGAACGGGCTTTGGATAGCCGTATGCAGCCGAATCGGCATTCGGTAAATGATAAATTTAAAGCAATCGGAAGCGAAGACGCAGTCATTGACAGCCGAATTACCATTGGATATGATCTTGTTATAGTTTAACTAGGACAGGATAGGAGGGAAGAGGAAGTTAACATAACTACTATATAAACAGTCATAGTCAATCAAGTTAAGTCGCCTAATTTGTTGTCTTGAAATATATCAAAAAGCAGAAATAGAAAGAAATTGTTTTTGTTCTCATATGAAAGAGAGCATTTAATTTGCCCCCCTCTCCACCTGTCATTGACTAGCTAATTACTTCGCTAAATCAGATTGGCATCAAACCTCCTGAAAGAGCCGAAGAAGGAGCACAGTTTTACCCGGCTGCTTATCTAGATCTGCCTGTGATGCTCCACCTGAAGGTTCCACCAGCTTCGAAACCCGTAATCTTCAACCGAATGATCCAGTTTTGACTGCTTGTTGTTAGTTAGGTATGGTACGATCATAGGTTGGCTTGTGCAGCATCGAGATCAACAAAACCACACTAACAACCTCACCGAGGGACGGTTCAAAAAAAAAAAAAAAAAAAAAAAAAAAAAAAAAATCATTAAGAGAACCCCTGTGCGCGGAAGAATTTGGGGGGGGAAATAATACCTTCTTTGTCATTTTCAGATGATTAACTGGTTGCTATTCCAGGAAGCGATCGCAGAGTGATTGAGGGGTAGACACGATCCTTTTTTATATCTCAAGAAAAATGGCACGGTATGTGCGGAATGAAAATGGATGAAGTGACCCCTCACTAGGTGTGTACTGCTTTCCGAGACACATTGGGGGATAGATATTGGTATCGGCTATTCAGTATCATTGATGAAGGCATACCATGCCCAGTAATGCAGTTGTTGAAGAAAGAGTGCATGTCAAGTAGAAAAGAAACATCAGCTGAATGGTTAAGCACTGCCACCTCAAGCAACAGTAAATAAATAAAATGAAAAAGAGAGGAAGTCATATTCCCTTCTTGCAACCTCAATGAAGATAACCAAATCTATTAACTTTACAAAAAGTCTTGTTTTGCAAAAGGTATAAACAAAAATCCAGGAACATACCCCCGTCTGTCTCTTTTTTATGCGAGGTATAAAGATAGCAAATGAAAGCACGCGCCAGAATTGAATGCTGAAGAGAATAGGGCAATGAGGAATAACCAAAATAAAATAGCAAACGAACAAGAGGAATCGATCATGCATGTGAAGCTTATTCACAGGACATGCAAAATAAAAGGGAGGATGCACAGCAGACTGACCTCATGTAGAGGACCTGCAGCAGAGAAATACAGGTGATAGAATGAAAAAGGATCAGAGATGAGGGGCTATCAATCCCCTTCACAACTTAGCCCCTTTATCATTCGCATCTCCGTCGAACACACTCTCCCCATTACTCGGTCTCCCAATAGACGACAACAAAATCCCCACCTCCCTCTCCAACGACGCAACCTCCGAATGGGGCGCGTACATCTTCGACTTAATCCAACTATCCAAATCCTCATCACTAAGTTCCCTAATACCCTTCTCACGATCCACATTCGCCTCCTGCGCCGCCCGTATCACACCCCTAGCAACAACGACACTAACTTCACGGATCCGCGTGAGGTCCGGGTACAGCAGGCCATGGTCCAGTTCCTCGGGCGTAAGAGTGTTGGCGAGAGCTTGCGCAGAGGCATAGATCATTGAATCGGTTACCTCAACTGCTTTGGAGAGGATGGTTCCCAGACCTATGCCTGGGAAAACGTACATGTTGTTTCCCTGGCCTGGGTAGTAGGTTTTTGTCTGGCCGGCGGAATTTTTGAAGGAGAATGGTTGGAAGGGGGAGCCGGAGGCGAAGAGGGCTGTGCCGTCTGTGTGCGTTATTGCGGATTCGAAGTCGCATTCCGAGTTTGCGGAGGGGTTGGAGAGGGGGAAGATAATGGGGCGTTTGTTGTAGGTGGACATTTTTTTGAGGATTTGAGGGGTGAAGACGCCGCCTAGTGTTGAGAGGCCCATTAGCATGGTCGGTTTGACGTGCTCGACTACTTCGCTTAGGGTCTTTAGTTGGAGGCCGTGATTATCTGTGCGGGCGAAGTAGACCTTGTGCGGGGCAAGTTTGTCGCCGCGATCTGCCGTGACGAGACCCTTTGTGTCGACGAGGTAGAAGCAGGCTTTGGCTTCGTCTTCTGTCATCCCCTCGTACATGAAGAAGTCGACTATCTGCTTCGCGACGCCTACACCAGCGCTTCCGGCTCCCAGGAAGACGGCCTTGTGCTTCCTCGTTGGGATGCCTGATTGCTTCACGGCGTTTATGACACCGGCAAGAATGACAGCTCCAGTTCCCTGGATATCATCGTTGAAGCAAGTGTATCTGTGGCGGTAACGCTCGAGGGCAGGGAAAGGGTTCTTGAAGTCTTCAAATTGAATGACAATTCTGTGCATGTCTCATTTATTTAGCAAATAAAACGTTACTTAACCACGGCTCAAACAATTTAGGTTTTCTCTTACCCAGGCCATTTCTCCGTCAGGGCAGTCATCAACTCATCCATAAATTCCAATTCCTGTTCTGGAGTGACCTTGTCGCGACGACTACCCATATACAGCGGGTTTTCTCTCAAAGCCTTATTGCTCGTCCCCAAATCCAGGGTCAGGGGCAGGGTTGCCTCTGGCCTGATACCAGCGCAGGCAGTGTATAGCGCAAGTTTTCCAATTGGTATACCCATGCCGTTTATGCCAAGGTCTCCGAGACCCAGGATTCTGGAGCCGTCCGTGATACAAGTTATTTCGACATGTGGCTGTGGCCAATTTTGAATGACAGCTGCAATGTTGCCTCTATCTTCATAACTGATGTACATTCCTAAAATTCAAATGTGTTGTGAGTTGCAAGATTCGGGAAGAGAAAATGAAGAACAATGTCATAGTTGGAGGTAAAAGAAATTTGGGTTAAACATTGTTCACCTTCAGGTCCCTGGTATATTTCTGACCATCTCTGACAAGCTTCACCCACGACAGGAGTGTATATCAAAGGTGTAAGTTCCTATAAGGAGGGGATTGCAGCCAATCAGCCAAAATTGCCCCAACTGCATGCTGAACGGCTAGTTGAATGCTACTATCTGTTACAGACCTTTAGGTGATCTACAACCAAACGATAGAAAAGATGAACGTTGTTCTTGCGTATAGTGCTGAGATAGAGGAACTTGTCGATAGATGTAGATTTAAGAGCCAACTGCCTCAGACCTGTGAAGTTACAGAGCGCAAATTAGCCAACGGGGCCATCTCACGCAATGCAAACGCACAGCCCAAACAATATCTCATAGCATACATCTAGCCTTTTGGGTCTCGTAGCTCTCCACACGGGGAGGAGTAAGGCCGTATGTTCCAAGGTATTTGCGGATATAGCCCGGGTTTGCGGTGTCGTGTGAGCCATCTCTGTTTTGTGTCATCGACAACATAGCTCTTCCGTTAGCGGAGAAAGTAACCAGCCAAACCAGGACATGAAAGATGCAGGGAAATTAATGATGAATCTCAACCGGAGAGTAGTTAGCAGAACAGCAGGATGGTATTAGGAGCTTACGTAGGCGTTGGTGCACTTGTAGCCGCTGACGAATGGACGCAATTGCGCTGGTGAAACCGGGGGATGGAATGACTCATTGCGGGCAGGTTGGGAGAGTTGGATGCAGGGAGAACTGAGGTAGTAAAGCTCTTGGGGACATGTACAGAGAGTGGAGATGTTGGAGAAGAGAGGAAAAGTGCGCGGCAAGAACTGAAGGAATTGTCGAAGTGGTGATGGTGAGCGTTGGGGGTGTTAAAGGAGCTGCAGGAACTGAAAGGGTTGCTGTAGTAGCTGCCGCTGCTGCTGCTGCAACACGAATGCTTATGTATACGGGCCAACATCAGTCCAAGGGGGAAAAGGTAAGCAACATATTCCTTGTACCCGCCCGTTAGATCAGCCAAACTCACCAATACCTAGGGATCGACCAGAAGCTGAGGAATTGCACTGGGGACAAATCAATAAGGGGGGGGGAGGATCAAGCCGATGTCGGGCAATGTCGGGTTGGGTGGAGGGGTTGCTCAAACAGGGCGCAATTCGCAGCTTCATGTACATAAACTATTACTCTCTAGTTATCCTTGGTGGACAAGACAAATAACCACCAAGGGGCTTGGAGGAGGAAGAGGGAGGAACAGCAGTAATAATCAGAGCAGGAACTTTGCTGGGTTGATGCGACAAGCCGTGGAACATATTCCGAAGACAGATTAATTTTTGATTTATCCTGACACATGTGAGGAACGACACTCTGCCCATCTCAGCCATGAAGCATTCTGGCAGCTGAAAGTGTTGATTTGATTGGCGAATAACTGCGGGCTGAGCTGTCCTGGTTTGAGATAGAGTTAAAGAGGCATTGTTCGGATGTCTGGAAATGTGTGCGGAGTCTGATGTGACGCGTTGCTATATGCTACTCCCGTATACACAACTACTAACTACGACGCTTTGGAGTATATTTTTCTTTCTTTCCGTCCCCTATTAAAAATCTATTATTCTTGAGGCTGTATTTTCCTTTATTTCTATACGGAAAGGTTTTTTTTTTTTTTTTTTTTTTTTTTTGGGACTTGAGCTCTCTAGCTCAATAAGCAAGGATACGGCCTCAAAGGCTAGCAAATCTAGGACGGGAAATCGGGGGACGGCGCGCTTTTTCAGCTGCGGTTATCCTTTGCTAACGGCAATTTTCCAGCAATTAAAATCAACAGGAGATTGGTCGTGATCCATGTTTCAAACTCGAGCTCCAAAACAGTTGAACATCCTACCTGCAGCAGTATCATCCCATTATTATTGTGTTTGTAGTTGCCAGTCATCATTCCTTCGCATGCTCCGACACTCGCTGCTCTCGGGGTGCCTTGTGGGTCATAAAAAATTCTGGAACAGAGACCGATAAGTCCTCGAACCACGGGTGTGCATCTGTGTAAAGATTCTGGGTCCAAGGAAAGTCAAACCAGACCAAAAAGAAGAACCCGTTCTTTTGTCATCTTAGCTTTTTACTAGCTAACTAAGGTCAGCGCCTGCATGGTAACGGTATCACCCGATATGCTAACCAGAGTACGGAGCTTTTTTCCTTCTTTTGGTGAATCGCGTGACAGGATTCTCTGGTCAACAAAAAAGGAAAACAGCCATAAAACGGAGCTATATTACATGTGAAATTCGGCTGCTGGTGGTTGGAGCCAACATGAATGGATGAAGTTAATACGCACTTCGTCGCAAGCGACTGCCCTTAGTTCGTCCCTAGCCAAGGGGACACCCCCCCCATTCGCTCCCTTCGCTCGCCGCCATTCGCAGGTGGCACTCTTGGGGCCTTGTCGCACGCGATTGCCAAGGGCCGGGTGCCAAGTTCCACCGTCTGGACGGTAAGCTAGAAGCCTCGAAGCCAAGGTTGTGAGCCTGTGCGCCTGGAAAGAGACTGAGGACTCGATGAATGAAGGGAGCGGGAACTGAACAAGAGGTGGCTGGAACAGGTAGTCAGTCCTCCTGGTCAGATGGCTACTATGAGAGCAGCGTCAAGTGCAGATTGTTCCCCGACTCCTGGCAAACCGTATCATAACCCTGCAGGGGGGAGGGGGGGAGAAGAAAGGTAAAAGAAAAGAAAAAGAAAGGAAAAAGAAAGGAAAAAGAAAGGAAAAAGAAGTCCAGGAAAATGTTACCCCAGAATTGACTTGTCATTCAGACCAAGTGTCATTGGTCCATTAATTCTCCCGCCATTCCCTAGCCACGCAGTGCATAATCGGGCATGGCTCAAGGGCTCCGAAAGGCTAAAGCTGGGCCACGCAGGCGCTTTTCCCCCTTAATTTTTAAACAATCCTTGGTCAATGGGAAAACTAAACTGCTGGGAAATGAGATGTCACGTTCAATCCAAAGCACAGTCTGCGGTTCCCTGTGTGCGGAGGCCTGAAAGTATCTGCGACAGAGAGACATAGGATGTCAATGAGACAAACCAATGAAATCATCTTGACACCGCTTCCAATGCTTGGTGCTAATGCGCATGATGATGTTGAAAGGTGTTGACTCTGTTGACTCCTCTGTTCCTCATGCAAACCCTAGATCTCGTAAATCCAAACCCTCCAATTGTGGCGAGTGGTTGGACCGTTTGATAACTGTGTCCCGATGTGTGGCTCGGGCACACGACCTAAATATCTCTCCTCTTTTAGCGAGTTCGTCACAGTGGTCAACGACTAGAGAGTAGTTTCCAGGATTCGGCGCTTTCAAGAAGAGTCTCAAAATAAGAAAAAAGATTTCAATCAAACTTATCATCAATGTCAAATTTTCATTTTTAGGTCCCGCTCCACCGTCATCGTGAAATATTCTCCATTGTCACAAACAAAGGGGGGAAAAACAACGAGCATGTCAGTCTCACCACCTCGCATAGCATCATGAGTACTGCGGACAAATCTCAAGTGCCCATCACGCACAACGCCTTTTAAAGCTTTCTCCTCAGTTGCACGAACAGCGCCCAAACTGGCACTCATTTGCTGGTACCAGCACACGCCCACATTAAACTCTGATATGGGCGCTGAGGGTCCGGATGTTTATCAGGACATCCTCGCGAGGACAATATCTATGTTTACGCAAATTTAGATGCACAGTACATCCATGAATATGCCCGGTTCCCCATGATAATGGCAGAAATGCGCAATGACGCAATCTGTTGCCTCTTTCTTACGTGCGCTCGTGGTCGAAGGGCCATTCACCACGACGACACAGTGTTGAGGGGCCGGGTATCCTGCTTATTGATGGAGATTGAGAGGATTCATGGAGACGAACCGCAACTGGGGCACTTTATACTGATGGTAATCTTGCCACCATGCAATGTCCCTCAACTGCCGCCTTTCTGGTCCGATGCTGGATATCCGCTACGCAGGTGCAGAACGGCTTTTTCGATAGCGAGCATTATGTTCCTCCTTGCCCAGGCATATTTTCCCCTTCTATCAATCCTGGACAAAAGCCATTAATGTAGTGGCAGACTTCTTTTCTTCTTTTTTTTTTTTTTTTTTTTTTTTTTTTCATTTTCATTTTTTCTTTAAGATATTCTGATGATAGCTGATTTCTTCATAATCAGGAGGTGATGTTAATTGCATTATTATGCGGAGCAATTTAAGGCCGCCTAATTGCCCAATTCTCTATAGAAGACTTCGTCCTTTGCACGACAATACGATCACTCAGGATACCAGTCGCGGAAGGAAAATAGCCTTCACAGGCTTAGAAGTAGCTTTACAACCAGCTAGCCTATTAGTTTCTGCAGAGAGCACTATAGAGAGATCCGTTTATAGGTAGGTCAATTCGTGATACATGAACAATTGCCGGGTTCGTCCGGATATATAACCCCTTGCCTATGAAAGGTTCTTTGACACAGCGTACCATGTATCAAGCAGACATTGGTCCGGAGCAATGTCTATCAAACATTAATATTGTGAGGGAGACTCTGATATAAGATGAAGTCTGCTGCGTGTAGAATTTAGGCTAAGGAAATTGAACACGGTATCATTTGAATGCGCTCCCAAGAAAACAGGGAGATATCCTTTGAACCGACATCGACTGTATACTTGGAACCAGGAGCCTGCGATATTCTCAGAAGCATTTGGAGGTTGGTTTGAGTGTTGGTGAGGCAAAAATACAATACGCATGAGCGTAGTTTGTAGTTTGGAAGATCTCGCTCTTAGTCTTGGCTGACGTTTCTGACCATCTTTGCCTACGACGTAGTTAGCTCGTTTATCTCCAACTGCCAACTTCCTCCATCCGGCATCATCCATCGGCCTCCCAGTGCTCGCCGCCCAACTCCATCTTCTTTGCAACCAGGCTACCACTGTGACAGTCCGGTCTAAATGCTTGCTAACTGGCCATTGATCTCCTGGTAGTCTCAATTCTTACCTGCTTGTCGTCAAAATGGCAGCAGCCATGGGGTCCTGTTGCAAACCGAGGAATGCTGCCGCCGGCGAAACCCGGCCTCTTCTTCCTCAACATCCCCGTGGTTATGACGACGACACGGTCCTGCAGCGTCAGCTGCACGAAAAACTGCATTCCTACCAGATGATCAAGGCCCTTTCCAGTGGTTTTATGCCATCAACAAACCAGATCGTCTCCAACCTCCGAGTTCTCCTGGCATCTAGCCTCCTCAACCCCGGACCCCTTGCTGTTGGGAACACTAGTCGTGAACTTACTACGGACGTTAAAATCTGTATACGTCTATTTATCGACCTTTTGCGAGAGAGGAATGGCGAAAATCAGCTACAAGATGCCATTTGGATGCTGTCTAAGTCGAAAGTTTTGCTCGATACCGAGAGTCTGGCATCCAGGACATCACAATCAAAGGCCCATGCAGATGCCACCGCCGGTAATTCAACAATGTTTTTTCCATGATTGCTCAAACCACTGGTCGATTCTGCTGATACCTCAATTTTAGCTCGTGAGTGTATACGAACGGTCTTTAGCCTATTACTCATCAACGCCGACTTCCGCCGCTTAGTCGACGATTTGGCTACCATTGGACGAATGATATTTGCGGATACTGCATCTGCGCTGTCGTTATCAGCCGCGGAAGCTGCGGTAGAAGTACAACCTACAGACGAAGAGAGAGCTAACCTCAAACCTAGTAGTTCAGAGACAAACGAAGCACCGTCTTCCGAGCATATAAACGAAGGGCTAGAAAATGTCTCCAGAGTTGCGGGGGAAGTTGTGGGTGAGACTGGGAAGGCTGCTGTGCACAGTGTGGAGGGGACTGTGTTTGGTTCATACAAGAATACGTTACTCTACAGGATGAAGAGAGCAGTTCTAAACCTTCGCGAAAGAAAAGACTATGCGAGCTCTGTATCCACAATCACTCAATTAATTAAGCGCTACGGGGTTACATATTCCCGCGTACTGGATGAAACGGTCAGTGCTGCGGATGAAGATTTTGAGCCAAATGCCGAACTCAAACAAGGCATGCGAAGCTTGTGGAGGTTCCTTGAATCCTTCGGTGACCGCGACGAATGGAGGCTTGTGGAAAGTAAATTCAATGTTGTGGTTAAACATTTTGAGGAAGATCCTGAACTTGAATCCTTGCTACAAGATATTGGGGACTCGATCTACGGTCTTATGATGGACCCTGTCTTCTATGATTCGGCAGATGAGACATTTGAAGTTCTGAAACAAAAATCTAGCGACATCGGTTTGGATTCTACCTTTCGCCAGGATATTAATGCTTTTCTAAAGCAATTACGTCGTGCCTTGGCTTCAGTGCCGAAAGATCAAACGGTAGCCAAATTCCTCTCTGCCATCAAAAAGCTTGGTAGCAACTTATCCCGAGCCTTCAACGAGAAAGCCCCTAGGGTTTCAGAAGATGCCCTCAATGTTTTCCTACCTACGTTGATCCGTTCCATTCAGCGTATTCCAATTCCAAGACTAGAAGTCTCGGCGCCCAACATGGATTTACTCCTTGAGAACGTCGTTCTGGAACCAGGCCACTCCTTTCACGGTTCCTCCTTCTTCCCATGGAGAATTCTCACCACAACCCACAATGATGTGGAGGTCCGGAAAACACATTCTAAAGAAGTGACTACAAGCGCAAAAACTACAGTTACCATAACAACGAATGGCCTAAATATAAGTGCGAAAGATTTCGGTTACTGGATCCGTGTTCGCACGCCCTCCTTTATCCCCTACTTCAGTGACGAGGGAATTGCCAGCTTCGCACTTGACGAACGCGGCATCGACATCTCCCTTGACATCGAGATTGGCCGCGATCACATCGAGCGACTAATCGCACTCCGTGGCGTCCGCGTTCACATCCATAAACTCGATTACACAGTACGCCGGGGCTCTTGGTCCTTTATGTGGTGGGTCCTCAGGCCATTCCTCAAACACATGGTTCGCCGCGTTCTCGAGAGAAAAATCGCCGAACAAATAGTTGCAGGAGCACATATCCTCAATCGCGAACTTGTGTTTGCCCGCGAACGTCTACGAGCGACAAGGATCGCAAGCCCGAAGAGCCTGGCTACGTTTGTCAGAGCTGTGTTGACGAGCATTACGCCGAAAATGGACCCGGATGTCTATGTGCGAGTTGGCGTTGATGCACGTCGAGAAGGAGTGTTCAAGGATGTGTATACACCGGCGAGTGTTATGCCGATTTGGCATGAGGAAGGGAGGGGAGCCGTGGAGGCTGTTCGGTCTGGGGATCAGAGTGGTGGTGTCCATATGACGTGGAGGAATGAGATATTTGATGTTGTGCCATCACCATCTGTGGCGCGGCGTTGAGTGCTTGAATCCTCAGTTATATCTCCCCTTCCTCTCCTTTTCTTCGTTAATCTCCCTTCGAATGTTCAAATCTGTCTTGAACAAGTTACATCTGAAGCCAGTTTTTTCTCTGTAAAAATTTAATGTTCTGCTAACGGCCCTCATGTCCTCCTTTGCCCTTCTGGCAAGCAATAATCTATCAGCTATATCCCTTTGTCTCTATCTTTCTTTACAACAATAAAAACATCTTTTATTATTTAAGCTGTTTGAACATTTAACTCCGTTGTTAATATACTGGCTTATTTCAAGCTTCATGCTTCTCCGTCAAGAAAAGAGTGATTATCAAAAAAAAACTCAAAGGGCATTAGTAAGACGTAGGTTGGTTTCATTTGGGAACTACATGACGGTTTTCGAGATATTCAGCGGATGTACACTGGTCCCACAACCAGTGGCTAACTGGATTCTACGGAGAAGGCTGTTGAAGACCTCGAACGATGCTGCATCTTCCTGCATACATGTATGTACTACTTAGAATCAACCCGTTGTCGAAGATTGTGGTCATGAAGTGTTGGAACAACTTCCACGTGACCTCACTTATCCCGGAACATTGATGATCCGGCTGATCGCAGAGCTGCCTGAAAATGATAGAGTGGCATCATGGAAGTTCAAAACACCAAACCTCCAACTCTCGCTTTTCCCGCCTTTTCGTCCTGTTTTCTGTTTTGCTAATTTAACACGGGTTTCTGGTGCTTTATCCATGATATACTTGTTCCGGGTCTTACAATCCTTCGTCCCTCGTGGATATTCTTAAATATTTTAAGGAATCTTCCACGATTTCACAAAATCTTTCACACACATAAAAGGAATCATTCGTTTGCGACGGCGCAAGACAGTATCGCAAACACGAATTACCTTATTGGTCTGTTGGGTCATTTCTCCCCCCCCCCGGGTCCGGAGACCAAGGGCCCATTCAGTCATGCTCGCATTCCCTTTTCTTGTGGGGATATCGTTGCTTGTCCTCCTCCCTGTCGTACTAGGCGCAGAGGACTACTATAAAATTTTGGGATTGGACAGAAAAGCTTCTGAGCGTGATATAAAAAGAGCTTACCGGACTCTTAGTAAAAAGTTTCATCCGGATAAAAATCCGTATGTCCTCATTTTCTTCCTCCGCTCCAAATCCGTTAATTGGTAATTCGCTGACCCTTGTGTTCTGTTGTACCTTCCAGGGGAAATGATTCTGCGCATCAAAAATTTGTCGATATAGCGGAAGCGTATGATGTTTTATCCACATCGTCGACAAGAAAGATCTATGACCAGTATGGACACGAGGGGCTCCAGCAGCATAAGCAAGGCGGAGGCCAGAGACATGACCCGTTCGACTTGTTCTCCCGGTTTTTCGGAGGAGGTGGACATTTTGGTCACTCTCCCGGCCAGCGTCACGGGCCTAATATGGAAGTTCGGCTTGCGGTTACTCTAAAGGATTTTTATAATGGCCGGGATGCACAGTTTGAAATTGAAAAACAACAAATCTGCGATGCATGTGAGGGATCGGGATCTGCCGATGGCGAGGTCGAGACTTGCGATCAGTGTGGGGGCAGGGGGGCGGTGATTAAGAAACACATGTTGGCTCCAGGAATCTTCCAGCAGATTCAAATGCAGTGTGACCAGTGTGGCGGAAAAGGGAAGAAGATACGGCACCCATGTCCTGTTTGTCATGGACAGCGAGTTGTGAAAAAATCTGTACCCTTGTCAGCCATGATAGAGCGGGGAATGCCCAAGGGATCTAAAATAACATTTGAAAATGAAGCTGACGAAAGTCCTGACTGGGTTGCCGGCGATCTGATTATCACGCTCGACGAGAGGACCCCTACGACCTTTGAAAAGGAGGACCGGACTGATGGGATGTTCTTCCGACGGAAAGATAATGACTTGTTTTGGAGAGAGGTCCTCAGCCTCCGAGAGGCGTGGATGGGAGACTGGACGCGCAACATTACACATTTGGACGGACATATTGTCCAGTTAAGTCGGAAGCGGGGCGAAGTGGTTCAACCTTTTGCCGTTGAAACTGTGAAGGGTGAAGGTATGCCAATTTGGCACGGAGGTCATATGCATGATCATGAACACAGCGATGAGTTTGGCAATCTCTTTGTTGAGTACACTGTTGTTCTTCCAGACCAGATGGAGAAAGGAATGGAAAAGGACTTCTTCGCTCTATGGGAGAAGTGGCGCAAGAAGAACGGCGTGAATCTAGATGAGGATAGCGGCAGGCCCACAACAGCTACTCCCAAGGACGAATTGTAATTTAGACATATACATAATTTTCAATTTTGTTTCCCTTTTTTTTTTTTTTTTTTTCGTCTTTTTGGGCAATTCTCCCTGTAATTTATTCACATGTTCTTGCTTGTTCACGACTGTCAATTTTCTAGGCCCGGTTCCGTTTTCTTTTTCGACTAAGAGAGAGAGAGGTATTCAACCAAGGGGCTGAATAAATGATAGACGTTTACCGCATGTACAGCACCACACTAAGGTCTTTAAGTCTTGCAATGAGGAGCACAATATCACATTGTTTTGCAATGATAAACTTCTAAAAGGAAAATCAGTCCCAATGTCACTGACAGAACCTGCGAATGAATGGGATCCAAGTGGAGAATATAAGCAGTCTGATCGATCAGTAAACTTGCCCTGTTTACGCAAACACCACCCTTCCAGGGCGCGATCCGTGCCTTTGGAGGAAGATAGAAGGTCTTCCCCCGACTAGACAAACGTCATCTTCCACATCGCCTCCATGTTGCTGTAGGATGCCTAAACTGCGTAATCACTATACATTGAGATATCGTTCCCCGCTACTGTTTGAGATTGACGATTTGGATACTCAAATATGACGTATCTAAAACATTGAGCAACCCTGGGGGCTGAGCCCAAACAAACCGTTGATGCAAAACGGTCTTGGAAGGAGATGCAACTGCAAAAGCGTTCGAGACAAACATCATGAATGAACTCATCAAGATCAATTATTTTGCATTTTCTGCACGGGAGCTTGGGTGTCAATGTGTAACTATTTGATGATCAGGAACTGAGCATGTTGCAATCTCGTCATCGCCGTTTGGTGTTGCTTCATGTCCTGCATACAACCCTGGTGAACAAACGAGGCAGTGCAGATGAAGACCTCGCAATTTGTGTCGCACCGAGCCATATTACCTGCGAGGAGTAGATTTTGCGGCCCTTGGTTCTGTGAACTGCATGCTCAACCCCTTTCAAGGCTCTTTATCATGTGCATATTGATTTTCTTTGACTGTCAGTTTCGATCTTCGTCTGGCATCGGGAGAGAGATTAGTAAAATCATTACAACGGGAGATGCAAATTGCCGTTGTTGAACCGAGATCCTTCAAGGTTTTCCGGGGAATGCTCTGAGCGGATTTGTCGAGAAATCTGCACCGGACGGGATTAGTAACAGCCCTGCAGACCCTGTGTTTGCGGCTGCAAGGGGTACAGCGGAGCTTTGCGAAAATATATAGTTACCGAAGAAGGCCCCGTCGGTTGAGAAGGAAAGTGAGTGAAGGAGGAGGAGAACACCATCCATTATCTCTGTGGAGTGTCAAAAATGGATAATTTTATATATATGTCCTAAGCCTGGGTTGTCCCAATATTCATAGAGCCATGACCGGTTACCTCAAACTAGTGCTCATTGACATCGATTCTAACACAGCTGCCAGTTCACGGTATCCATATCCTTTTGGAAATGCGATATCAGGTTAGTTACCTTCACGTCTAAAAACTATTTCACGCTTTCCACCTTTTAAAGATTACCTTTTAATTTTTTAATTTTTTAATTTATTTATTATTTACTTTTTTTTTTTTTTTTTTTAAATATAAATACAAGAAATGAAAAAAGCAAAAAGAAGCAGAGAGGAAATGAACCTGATGAAGGCCAATTCAGGCATTCAACCCGGCGAATCGATATCAACCTGAATATCCGTGAGCAGAAACATTTCCAATCCATGGAGAGTGCGATTGAATGCTACAAAGCTCCATGAAAACAACAGAAAGCCGCCAATCTCGCATCCAGGAGAGAGAGCCGACAACCATAAAATAAACCAACGCGCAGTTGCTGCTAAATCAAAGGCCAAGGGAAGACCCAATGTTGGGGGCATTGGGGACCTCACACTATTCTCCCTCCATCCAAAAGGAATAAATAGTATTACATCGTTAAGTCATTCAAATTTGTTAGTGCCTTGGACGCCACCTGTTTTGCAGGCTTTCACCCTTACTCCACGAGAGGCAATCTCCCGCAAAAACCTGGTTGCATATCTGAAACTGATACACCGGGGGGATTCAATGTTGGCGAGACATTTCTATTGTTGGTCACACCCATATTCCCCATGTTCAGAATCCGACTCCTGCGCCTCGCTTTTAGCCTGTGCTCAGTGTCCATGAGCTTATTCTGCACCCACATGCGCACTTGTTGGTCAGATTTTATCGACGCCGAGTTGAGCAGTTCGGTCAATGCGAGCTTGACTTGCTGGTCCATATCATTGGATCTGCTGTCGTCATAGTCGGCGAAAATGGAGTCTTCCAACGAGTCAGGAAGCATGTGTGATGGCGGGGGTGTAGAAGAAAGGCGAGTGAATGATTCCGGGGATGAGGTAGGGGAGGGAGATGGATAGCGACTTGGTGGTTGAGTAATGGAATGCACAGTGCTGGGCAACAACGCCTTTAGCTTGTCGGTAGGGAGCATTTCCTTTTCCTTCTCCTTCTTGTATTTGTTGCTTCTGATTATTCCCTCCTAATCACTGCGGTTCAAGATGACCGGTTTTCGAAGAGCGAAGGCTTTCTCGGAGAGTTCGAGTGAGTGTTGAAACAATAGTTTGAGGCAGGATTCCAAGTCGCGTTCATATCAAAATGTTCAACGTGGATATCGTGCCGCATGCAAAGTGCTCAAGTGGCACAAAGAGTAATTGCGGTGCATCGGACTGGAGAAGACAGCCTTGGAGCTGCAACGTTATTAATAAAGGGGTTTCATGAAATGTCCGAACTCACAGGAAACCGCCGTAATGAGGTATCAAACGGAGCGTGGCTGTTCTTACAGATGCGCCCCCCCTCTCCACCCCCCCAGTTAGCTATGTATGTTCGGCGGAATTAGTGATGATGTAATAAAAAATGAGGGTGAAATTGGGTAGAGGTAAATGTTCGGGATTCCAACAATTCAGAAAGTTTAAAACGGTTTGTATGGAACCGCAGAATTCTGGAAATGCAATCGCCTCTTAAGGTTCATGGAATCGTAAGGTGGCCAAAATGAAAATGGGCTTCAGAATCAAGAAGCAACTCTTTTTGTAATGAAATCCTGTTATTTTACGCCAGGGGCTTAGCCGTTGTCGTAAGAACTAAATAAACACTGGATCAAATTCCGCTGAAGCTCTACTCCGTAACTCGAATCGTTTATTTATTCAGTCGGAAAATCCCTGATCACGTCAGCGCAGAGGCACTTGGCATCATCATCAGTGTTACCGGATATTTAAAACGAGTGTCAATATCAGACCCCGTTGGTGTTCTTTGTCTCTAGGCCATGCTTGGGGCGTCTAAGCCCATGTAATTGGCTCGGAGGAATTCGTAAGCACATACGCACAAGCCCGGGGGACCTTAGGTAAAAGAGGAGCAAAATGCGCGCAATGGTGAATGACACAAGAGCGGATCTGTGAAAGCGGTGGAGTGGAACCCTGTCTCTTTTGGTAAAGATGTGGCGAATAAGAAGTGTCCGTTAGCGATGAGGTCGCACCTTTCGACGTTTGACAGAAAAGATCAATTTTTGGAGCTGTTCTGAAGAGCAAACCATGAGGATCAAAATGTAAAAATAGAAACTGGGCTCTGTTGCATCGTTCGGATCTCCCTATTAATTCGATATTTCAAAACATTTTTCTAAGTAAAAACGAATCGCGGATTGGTTGAAACTTTCACAACTTGAAAGTGTGGTGTGATTCGATCCTGACAGAGTGATTCCGGGCTTCCGCAAGGGAAGGGTGGGGCGATTGCAACATCTTAGGGCAAATATCCCTGCTGATCTTCATTGGCCGGACTTCTTGAAAAGACACCGACGGCAACACAGGAAGATGCCTCTGCGAGCCATGTGAACTAGTCGCAGCTCAAAACACAGTGCCAATTTCGTCAATTCCATCCGGTTTCCTAAGACATTGGGTTTTCGTGCTGTTGATGTTTGTTTCTTTCAGTTCCCTCAGTTCTTCCAGTTCGTCAAACGGGCCACACCTCCTCCATCTGACCTGGCGGAAAGCTCGGAAATAGGCAACCAGCAATGATGTGCTATTTCTAGAGTCTTCAGAGATGAGATGTCTGTTCCGCCCCCGGAGGTTATCCCTGCCTGCTGCACTTCGGAGTCTAAAGCCGAAGCAATGATTCCGCCCCAAAACGAGGTGATGAGGTCTATTTTTGCCAGGAGGTTAGCAATGACAAACTACTACTTGAGCAATTGACATCCAACTGCGCCCGCACTTAAAGGAGCAGATGGGGACTGTTTAGCCTAGGCTGTAAAGCAATTCCACAACTCCGTCCCATATGCGGAACAGACCCAGCTAGCACATCTCTTCTCCGTATAGCTAATCCCCATGTCATTGTACGTAGAACTTCGATGTCGGACGAGGTTGCTCTGGGGATGGCGGAGTGCAATCAATGCAAACATGTTTCTGACAATTTCTAACTATGTGACTGGCAGTATTCTCACCGCCTTCCGACAGCAAATTTGCATCTCGCTTTGCCTTGATCAAATATCAACCATATCTGTTTCTGAAGTTTTTGAGCCTGCCTACCGTCTCAAATCCTAGAAGACTGGGGTTAGGGGGGTTATAGCACTCCGGAAACCCAATTTATTTGATGCTACCCGGTAACCGGCAGTCATCGCCAGCATGGTTCGAAAACTCAAGCATCACGAACAGAAGTATGTACAGTACCCGGATAGAATTAAAACAAACTTACTTGACCCGCCCAAACCGCAAAATGTAGAATTGGCACCAAATTTCTAATATCAAATCTCTCACCAGGCTCCTCCGCAAGGTTGATCTTCACACCTACAAATCCGACGCCGGACACCGGGAAGCCACCGTCCGACAACGCTATCACCTCCAGCACCCGCTCGATTATCAAAAATACAACACCCTCTGCGGCTCCCTCCGGCAACTAGCACATAAGCTCTCTGCGCTGGATCCAGATGACCCGTTCCGTAAGGAGATTGAGAGTCAGATGCTGGAGAAGCTGTGGGCGACGGGCATTTTGAAGCAGAATCGCGAGCAAGGGGC